GAAAATCCTGGCGCTGGAACAGCCCAAACTTGGGCAATCTCATTGTGCGAAAGGGAAACCAGATGTTGGGGGGAGAGAGAGAAAAAAAAAAGAACATAAAGCAGAGCTCTGGAAGGGAGAGTAAATCGCCCTCTTAAATTCTTCATCGGCCGAGCCAGCGCTCCTCGAGTGCTGGGGGAGCCGCTGGACCTTAATTAGAGGGACGCGGGGTTTTGTCCTTCGGTTGGGAACAGGGAATTTGGGAAAGGAGGGATGTTCCCTTCGAGTTCAGAGCGTTTCAGAACAGCCTGAACTCTTAAACCGGCACGTGGACCTTGAGACGGTCTGGTCATGTGCCGATGATTTCTGGCACGAGTTGTTCCAGCTGCTGACTAAAAATCCCTTTTTTTTTTTTTTTTTTTTTTTGCTGAATTGGCTGAACGGGAGAAGTTTTGCCCTGCGTGGTTTCTCCACGGGTCACCCTGTTTGTCCCGGGACAGGCACGTAGGACATTGCACTCGAGTAAAGGGAGTCTCGTAAAAACCACTTAATTATTACCCAGCACAGGGGGAAAGGTTGTGTGGGTGTGATGCCGGTTCCAGGAAAACCTTCCTTGCTCAAAAGTAGAGCCTGGATTTCTTTCTTTTTTTGGTGCTGCAACCTTTTAATGGCTTAAACCCGCACTTAGAAGCGCTTGAAGGAATTCCATCGGTGTGAAATCTCGCCTGGCACAAATTTAGCTTTAGTGTCTGTGCTCGTGATGTGTAATTCGCTTTTAATAAAGTGAAAAAAACAGTTCGTGGAACTGTTGACCCCGCCGGGGTTTTTAATTATCTGTGGGTGCTGTAACACCACGGGCTCGGTACAGAAACTTCCCCCAGCCCTCCTCCTAATCTGGGTTCCTGCGAGGAACACGGAGACAGGAGGCTCATTGTTTGCAAGCCCGGGACTAAAAAAAAACCCCTCCTGAGCCCGAGTTATCCGCAGTATGAGGTGCGGGGAGTCTCGGCTTACAGCAGGCTGAGCCGGGCTTTAGGGGGAGTGCGTGACCCTGAGCTGAAACCCAGAGCCCAGACAAGGTGAAGTTGCCAAGGAGAAGGAGGGGGGGGTTATTTTCCTCCTCCCGCCTCGGATCAAACGCTGGAAGGAGAAGAAGGAGCAGATGTTTTTTTTTTTGGCAGTCGGGCCGTGTCTGAGGAGCTCTCACAGGACTGAAAGTGGGATTTTGTTTTTTTTAATTTTTTTTTTTTCCCTTTTAAGACAGGGAAAACGGCCTTTGGCTAAGTTGGATTTGTAGGTACAGGAGTTCCTCTCTCGGGCACAAACTGTGGGATTCCTCCCTCCTTCTTGTCCATCCTCTCTTGTCGTGTGTCAACTGTTCCCCAAATCCATTTCTAATCCCAGGAGCCCCGCGGAGAGGCAGGAATTCCTCGTGCACGTGCCTGCGCCGCCTCATCCCGGCACAGATGTGCTGGGAAAGGCATTCCCACATGTCCCCGGGCACCGGGAGCCTGTCACTGGAGCTGACCCTTGCACGGTGACCTGCAAAATGCTGCTCGAGCCTCCCCGGAGCTTTCTTGCTATTCCTTTTCGGTGGCACATTTTATTTTTTTTTCTTCTCCGGGCTATTTTTATCCCTCCCTGGCCTCGCCAGAGCTTTGTGTCTGTGTTTTTCCTGCCTGCAGCCCGAGCTTCTCTTGGCTCGTGTCTCTTTTATCCCGATCTCTGATTTTTTCAAGGAGTAAATAAATAAATACCTCTCCTTTCCTTCCACTCCCAAACATCTGCACCTAATTAATGCTCTTTTCGAGCCCGGCCTTCTGCATAATCCTTTCCCAAACTACCCCTCCTGCCTCGAGCCCGGTGGCAAAAGGAAAAGAAACAACTGCAGCAAAATTCCCAGTTGTTTTTTTTTTTCTTACCCAAACCCAGGGTCGAGAACACTCTTTTCCCTTGAGATCACCCAGACGTTTCGAGCTTCAGTGCTGTGCCAAGAGCTCTTTGTGTCCTTCAATTGTTTCTTTTCATGTTTTCCCCCCCCTGCAGCTCCCGAGGCTGAATTAGGGTGAGCTCACCCTTGAGCTCACCTCCTCCTCCCGTGTGGGATGAGCCACTGCTGGGCTCGTGTTGCTGAAATCAGAGCTGACACATACGTGGAGCTCTGCTGCTTCCTCAGTCCCATGACTGGAATCCAGCCCTGGCTGTTCCCCTTCCCCCTATTTTTTATTTTTTATTTTTTATATTTTTTTTGCTTTTTCATTTCGAGAATTTGTCGCTTCTCTCGCCGCCCAGAGCAAAGATTCGGGCACCAAACCGGGCTGGAAATAAAGACTGGGCCTAAGCAGCCTCCTCAGGCTTTTGCCCTTTCGAAACGTAAGAGGAGAATTTCAACACTAATTAACCAATTTTAACTGAGGCGACCCCAAAAAGCGGCTGAGCTTCACGTTGAGAAACGTCCTCGTGCTTAATGAGTCACGGGAGCACCAGGACACCCCTGCGAGCTTTAAATCCATCCCTTCCCCCCTGCGCACACCTTTCCTGTCGGGGTCAAACACGTCGACTTGGCAGCGGGAGGTTTGCCCGGGGCGTTCCCTCTCCCTCGGCAGCGCTCGGGGCCGGGCCGGGCTCGGGCTCCCGGCGGGGATTAAAGCGGTGGAGAAAAGCAGAAGCTCCGGCTTTCGAAAATCCAGACGAAGGCGGAAGAAAAATTACAGCGGGTTGTGGGGGGGTGGGGGAGAGAGCCCGGGAGGAGGAGACCTTGAAAAGTGAAGCTGTTCAGCTTTTCTCCACCAGGAATGTTCAGCCTGTGGTGGTTTGATGTTTGTTGGGAGAGCCCGGGAGGAGGAGGAGACCTTGCAAAGTGAAGCTTTTCAGCTTTTTCTCCATGAGGAATGTTCAGCCTGTGGTGGTTTGATGTTTGTTGGGAGAGCCCAGAAGGAGGAGGAGATGTTGCAAAGTGAAGTTTTTAAGCTTTTCTCCACCAGGAACGTTCAGCCTGTGGTGGTTTGTTAGGAGAGCCCAGGAGGAGGAGGAAATGTTGCAAAGTGAAGCTTTTAACCTTTCTCCATGAGGAATGTTCAGTTTGTGGTGGTTTGATGTTTGTTGGGAGAACCCAGAAGGAGGAGGAGCCCTTGCAAAGTGAAGCTTTTTTATTTAAGCTTTTCTCCACCAGGAATGTTCAGCCTGTGATGGTTTGTTAGGAGAGCCCGGGAGGAGGAGGAGACTTAAGCTTTTCTCCATGAGGAATGTTCAGCCTGTGGTGGTTTGATGTTTGTTAGGAGAGCCTGAGCTGCTTTTCCCTCCAAACTAAAACGGGCAAACACATTCTTGCTCCAAAGGAAAAGCTGCTAAAAGGCAGCAGCACATCCCAGCTCCACCTTTAGGTAACAACCACTCACCTCTATTTCTGTTCAAAGCACACCAGCCCCGTTTTAACCCTGCCTGGTGTTCTCTTCCCACTTTCTCACCTTTCATGTTCTCTCCCCTCTTTCCCACCTCTGTTCTCTCCCCCTCTCTCACACTTCTGATGTTCTCTCCCCTGATGTTCCCTCCCCTCTTTCCCACCTCTGATGTTCCCTCCCCTCTTTCCCACCTCTGATGTTCTCTCCCCTCTTTCCCACCTCTGATGTTCTCTCCCCTCTTTCCCACCTCTGCTGTTCTCTCCCCTCTTTCCCACCTCTGCCCAGTCTAATCGCAGCCCGGGGAAGTTCAGGCAAATATTTACAACCTCTGCTTCCCTTTCCCTTTTCCCTGCTTCCGAAGGCTCTCCTTGCCGGGTTTCCCGCTCCTGGAGCGGGTTGGTGTTGGTTTAAACCTGCCTGGGCAGCTGGAGAAGCCTCTGTCTGGAGTTCAGCAAAGCCTTTGGCACCGTCTCCCCCAGCACACTCCAGGAAAAGCTGCAGCCAGGGCTTGGCCAGGGGCACTCTGTGCTGGGTGAGGAACTGGCTGAGGGCCCAGAGAGTGGTGGGGATGGAGCTGCTTCCAGCTGGGATCCGTCCCCAGGGATCAGTGCTGGGCCCAGTCCTGTTTAATGTCTTTATTGAGGATTTAGAGGAGGGGATGGAGGGAACCATCAGCACATTCCAGGTGCCCCCAAGCTGGGGGAGTGTTGATGTGCTGGAAGGCAGGAGGGCTCTGCAGAGGGCCCTGGCCAGGCTGGATCCAGGGGCTGATTGCAAGGGGCTGAGGTTCCCCAAGGCCAAGGGCCGGGTCCTGCCCTTTGGCCACAAGAAGCCCCTGCAGCTGCAGGCTGGGCCAGAGGGGCTGGAGAGCAGCCAGGCAGGAAGGGAGCTGGAAACTGGGATTGACAGGAAGTTGAACTTGAGCCAGAGTGTGCCCAGGTGGCCAAGAAGGCCAATGGATCCTGGCCTGGCTCAGGAACAGTGTGGCCAACAGGTCCAAGGAAGTGATTCCTCCCTTGTACTCAGCGCTGGGGAGGCCACCCCTGGAGTGCTGTGTCCAGCTCTGGGCCCTGAGCTCAGGAAGGCCCTGGAGGGGCTGGAGCAGGGGCAGAGAAGAGCAGCGAGGCTGGGGAAGGGACTGGAGCCCAAGTGCTGGGAGGAGAGGCTGAGGGAGCGGGGGGGGCTCAGCCTGGAGAGGAGGAGGCTCAGGGGAGACCTCCTCACTCTCTGCAACTCCCTGCCAGGAGGGGGGAGCCGGGGGGGGTCGGGCTCTGCTCCAGGGAACCAGCAGTAGGACAAGAGGGCACGGCCTCAAGCTGTGCCAGGGCAGAGTCAGGTTGGACATCAGGAAGGAATGTTTTCCATGGAGAGTGCTCAGCCATTGGAATGGGCTGCCCAGGGAAGGGGGGGATTCTCCGTCCCTGGAGGTGTTTAAGGACAGACTGGATGTGGCATCAGTGCCATGGGCTGGGAACCACGGCGGGGTTGGATCAAGGGTTGGGCTGGATGAGCTCGGAGATCCCTTCCAACCCAGCTGATCTGGAATTCTGGGATTCTGTGATTCCAACCCAGCTGATCTGGGATTCTGGGTCTCAGGGGTTTGTTGTGTGCTTGTTCCAGGAGCCCAGCACCAAGCGGGTCCGGCCCCTGGCTCGGGTCACGTCCTTGGCAAACTTGATCTCTCCGGTCCGAAATGGGGCCGTTCGGCGCTTCGGGCAGACCATCCAGGTACAAAAACCAGGAATTCCAGTCCTAATTCCAGAGGTTTGGGGAAAGGACCGGCTGGGAATGGGGTAAAAAGGGGGATTTGGGGGGGCTTCTCATGAAAATCAGCGAGGTAAGGATGGGAGAGTCACTTGGAGCAGAGGGGGGAGAGACAAGTTATTGAGGGTTTAAAGAATAAAGAAATGAAGTTGAGTTGTTTATATATTTATTTATGTGATTTATATATTTATAAATCTATTTTAATATTTATTTTTTAATAAAAAGAGATAGAGCTAGAGATAGGTCACTTGGAGCAGAGGGGGGAAAAACAAGTTACTGAAGGTGTAAGTAATAAAAAAATGAAGTTTAGTTGTTGATATATTTATTTATATAGTTTATATATTTATAAATGTATTTATATATTTATTTTTTTAATAAAATATCCAGATAGAGAGAGATTTTTTAAAATTTTTTAGAATTTTTTTATGGTTTTTAATGGAGTTTTTGGGGGGAAGTTAATTTCTTTTAATTTTTTAAAGAATTTTTTTTATTTTTTTTTTTTTAATGGGGGTTTTAAATGGGAGTTTTTTTAATGTTTTTTTAAAATTTTTTTGTAATTTCTTTTTAATATATTTTTAAATTTTTTGGCCATATTTGTTTTTTGATTCCCTGCAGTCGTTCACCCTCCGCAGCGACAGCAAATCCCCCGGCTGTTCCCAGAAATCCTGGAGCAGATCCGCCGCTCCCACGCCCCCAAAAAGAAGGAACAGCGTCCTCTGGTCAGAAATGTTGGATGTCAACACCAAAGAGTCCCTGAGCTCCAAGGAAATCAAGCGCCAGGAGGTAGGGTGGGATTGGGAAAAGGAATTCCTGCCTTTGTCCTCCTTTTCCAAGGGAAAAGAGTCCCTGAGCTCCAAGGAAATCAAGCGCCAGGAGGTAGGGTGGGATTGGGAAAAGGAATTCCTGCCTTTGTCCTTCCCAATACCAGTCTCTGAGCTCCAAGGAAATCAAGCACCAGGAGGTAGGGTGGGACTGGGAAAGGGAATTCCTGCCTTTGTCCTTCCCAACACCAAAGAATCTCTGAGCTCCAAGGAAATCAAGCACCAGGAGGTGGGATAGGATTGGGAAAGGGAATTCCTGCCTTTGTCCTTCCCAACACCAAAGAATCTCTGAGCTCCAAGGAAATCAAGTGCCAGGAGGTGGGATAGGATTGGGAAAAGGAATTCCAGCCAATTTGTCCTTCCCGAGGGAAAAGAGTCCCTGAGCTCCAAGGAAATCCAAGCCACCAGGAGGTAGGATGGGATTGGGAAAAGCAGCCAATTCCAGCCAATTTGTCCTTCCCAAGACCAAAGAGTCCCTGAGCTCCAAGGAAATCAAGTGCCAGGAGGTAGCTGGGATTGGGAAAGGGAATTCCTGCCAATTTGTCCTTCCCAAGGGAAAAGAGTCCCTGAGCTCCAAGGAAATCAAGCACCAGGAGGTAGGGTGGGATTGGGAAAAGGAATTCCTGCCTTTGTCCTTCCCAAGGGAAAAGAGTCCCAACCATGCACAGGAGGCCGGATCTTCCCGTGCACTTCCACCCCCAAACCCCAAATTTCCGCCTGGATTAGGAGTGGGAAAAGGTGGATTCCTCTCTCCCGAGCCACTGTGGAATTCATCTTGGGAGATGCCAGACTCTTCCCAGCATTCCAGAATCCCTGCAGCAATCCCATGGTCAGATTCCTCCTAAAACTGAGGAACTTTCTCCCAAAACTCCTGGCACTTGGCAATGAACCCAGCCCAAAAAAAAGGGTGATGGCAACAACCCTGTCCTGCCCAGCTGGTTGGGGAATCCCTCTGCCAGATGTTCTCCCACTTTTAGGCAGGAAAATCCTAATCCTAAACCTTGGCTTGCCTTTTTCCTTGGACAAATCCTCTGGAGACACCACCTGGAGCAGCCCCCTGGGATGTGCCAGAGCAGGGATTTCAAAGGCCCTAAAAATATTCCCTTTGGCTCAGGAGGGGCAGGGCTTGGAAAGCTTTGGAATTCCCAGCTGAGGACAGGATGGACATCTGGGAGCCGAAAAGGCTCTTTCCCAGAAATCCTGGCATTAAAAAATGACCCCGAGTGCTTTGTCCCCTTCCTCCCAGGCCATATATGAGATGTCCAGGGGAGAGCAGGACCTGATCGAAGACCTCAAACTCGCCAGGAAGGTGAGTTTGGGGCTTTTTTGGGGGGGGCTTTTTTTGTGCAGCCAGAAATCCTATCCCAGATAACAGGGCCAAAGTTTGGGGGGGAACTTTATCCGACCCCGAATCCCACAGCTTGGAAGCTGGCCCGGAAAATGGATGTGATGGCAACAAACCCAGCCAAAAAAAAGAAAGGGTGATGGCAACAAACCCAACCAAAAAAGAAAAGGTGATGGCAACAAACCCAACCAAAAAAAAAAGGGTGATGGCAACAAACCCAACCAAAAAAAAAAGGGTGATGCCAACAAACCCAGCCAAAAAAAAGAAAGGGTGATGGCAACAAACCCAACCAAAAAAAAAAGGGTGATGCCAACAAACCCAGCCAAAAAAAAAAAGGGTGATGGCAACAAACCCAGCCAAAAAAAAGGGTGATGGCAACAAACCTCGCAGTCCTGCACAGCTGGTTGGGGAATCCCTCTGCCAGATGTTTTCCCAGTTCAGGCAGTGAAGTCCTCAACACCTTCCCACAGACCCTTTTAACCTCCAAGTCTCTGGATTTCACTCCACTTTGTGCTCCTCTCTGATTTAAATTGGCAGGTTTTGGGAATGTTCAGGCTGGGATATGTTGTAACAGTGGCATTCTTTGACAGGCCTACCACGATCCCATGCTCAAACTCTCCATCATGTCCGAGGAGGAGCTCACCCACATCTTTGGGGACTTGGATTCCTACATCCCCCTGCACGAGGGTAAGAGCAGTTTGGGGTCGTTTGCTGACCAAGAGTTCCCCCCTGTGCTTTCTCCCGGGGAATCCTCACAATTCCTGATGTTTGTGTTTCAATTCCAGACTTATTGGCAAGTTTAGGAGAGGCAACAAAACCAGACGGGACGGTGGAGCAGATTGGGCCCATTCTTGTGAAGTGGGTGAGTTCCCAACCTGGGGACAACGGGCTAAAACTGAGCTTAGGGAGCGTTTAAAGCCGGGCAGCCCAAGAACTCTGGGGTTTTGTGACCTCAGGCACAAATTGGAAGGGAAATCTTGGTTGTTTGGAGAACAGTGGGACTCCCTCAACCGTGATGGGCCCTGATTTCACCCCGGAGACGGGCACTGGTGTGCCTGCAGTTGTTTGGGATTGATGTTTGGGTGTCTGTGTCTGCTGGGCTCTTGGTCACCGGTGTCACTCGGTGTCTTGTCACTGGTAATCCCAACTGGCAGAGCTTCCAAGGCTCCACATGTGGGGTGTCCCTGCTCCCACAGCACCCCAGGTACTAACAGGATACTCCTTAGCTTTCCTTATTGGGAAAAGTAGCACAGTAAGTAATCATAGAATGAGAGAATCAGCTGGGTTGGAAGGGACCTCCGAGCTCATCCAGCCCAACCCTTGATCCAACCCCGCCGTGGTTCCCAGCCCATGGCACTGATGCCACATCCAGTCTGTCCTTAAACACCTCCAGGGACGGAGAATCCCCCACTTCCCTGGGCAGCCCATTCCAATGGCTGAGCACCCTCTCTGCAAAGAAATTCTTCCTGATCTCCAACCTAAACCTCCCCTGGCACAGCTTGAGACCGAGCCCTCTTGTCTTGCTGATGGTTGCCTGGGAAAAGAGCCCGACCCCCCCCGGCTCCCCCCTCCTGGCAGGGAGTTGCAGAGAGTGAGGAGGTCTCCCCTGAGCCTCCTCCTCTCCAGGCTGAGCCCCCCCAGCTCCCTCAGCCTCTCCTCCCAGCACTTGGGCTCCAGTCCCTTCCCCAGCCTCGCTGCTCTTCTCTGCCCCTGCTCCAGCCCCTCCAGGGCCTTCCTGAGCTCAGGGCCCAGAGCTGGACACAGCACTCCAGGGGTGGCCTCCCCAGCGCCCAGCCCAGGGGCACAAGCCCTGCCCTGCTCCTGCTGCCACACTCTTCCTCAGCCAGCCCAGCAGCCCTTGGCCCTCTTGCCCCCCTGGGCACACTCGGGCTCCTCTTCAGCTTCCTGTCAATCCCAACTCCCAGCTCCCTTCCTGCCTGGCTGCTCTCCAGCCCCTCTGGCCCAGCCTGCAGCGCTGCATTGGGGTTGTTGTGGCCAAAGGGCAGGACCCGGCCCTTGCCCAAATGCGACATCTTAACGTGATTTGCTTTTCCCGCCTGGAATTGACTCCTGGATATCCCGTTCCCTGCAGCTCCCACGGCTCCACGCCTACAAAGGCTACTGCAGCAACCAGCTGGCAGCCAAGGCCCTGCTGGACCAGAAGAAGCAGGACAGGAGAGTCCAGGACTTCCTGCAGCGCTGCCTGGAGTCTCCCTTCAGCCGCAAGCTGGACCTCTGGAGCTTCCTGGACATCCCGCGGAGCCGGCTGGTGAAGTACCCGCTGCTCCTCAAGGAGATCCTGCGGCACACGCCCAAGGACCATCCCGACATCCACATCCTGCAGGAGGCCGTAAGTGAGGGCGGTTCCGGCGGGAACGCGTTCCTTTGGAGCTCCAGGAAACTCCCTTAAACCCTCGGGGATCTCGCCCGGGTTTGACTCGGGGTTGAACCGGATTTCCCTGAGGGTTTGAGTTCCAGTGTCGGGGTGGGTTTATGGCAGACACAAACCTGTGAGTCACCCTCTCCGAGAGGAAGTGAGGGATCAATCCACAGGAATTCCATTGCCTGGAGCTCTGAAGTAGCACCTACCAGGAAGAAGCCCGTGCACGGGTCACTGTTAATCATCCCTTTGCTGATTAATAAATTCATCTGCTGTTGCAGATATCCATAATCCAAGGGGTCCTCTCCGACATCAACCTGAAGAAGGGCGAGTCCGAGTGCCAGTACTACATCGACAAGCTGGAATACCTGGATGAGAAGCAGAAGGATCCAAGGATTGAAAGCAGCAAAGCTCTGCTGTGCCACGGGGAGCTGAAGAATAAAAACGGACATGTAAGTCCCTCCTGCTCCTGGGAATTCATTCTCAAGGGAATTAATTCTCAAGTTCAGACTGGGAGCCTTCACTCCTTTGGGATAGTTTAGACTCGGGGCTAAGTTTAAAAAGCAGAGGGGAAAGCCCTTGGTGGCAGCCCGGATTTTGGGGTGGGAGGGAAAGTTTCCTTGCTGGCAGCTCCACAGTTGGCCTTGGGAAGCTGGAAAACAATGAGCACAAAAGGGAGCACAGCAAGTGCTCTCCATCCCCAGGGATTTCCTGCCCCTGTTTGCTTTCAGGTGCTCTGACACGGCCCTTCAGGAGCTCTGCTCCAAACAAAAGGCTTCCTGCAAAGGCCTCTTTGGCTTGGAGCTGAGCTCAGCCAGGAGTTTTATCTCCCACTGGACTCCAGGGATTGCTGCCTTTTGTGCTGCCCTGGTTTAAAACATCAAATCTTTCCATGTTTTCTTTACTTTTTATTTTTTTTTTTTAGTTAATTGGAGGATTGTTTGGGTTTTTTGTATTTTTATTTAATTTGGCTGTTGCATTTCTGCACACGGGGCGGTTTTGTGTTGCCAGAACAGATAATTGCTCCTAATCACCCTCTGCTTGGCATCTGTAAATCAGAATCCCAGGGCTGAGGATCAATAAAACAATAAAAAGCCGTTGAGGTAATTCCTTTCCGTGCCAGAACTCGGAGAGACTCACAGACTTATCGTGGGTGAAACCACAGATAAGGCAGCCCCGGATCCCAGAGGGGGGAGGATGTTTGACCTCAGGGAACACGGAGCACGAGGCTTTGCCGACATCCCAACGTGCTTTTCCTCCCCCTTCTCCAGAAGCTCTACGTGTTCCTCTTCCAAGACATCCTGGTGCTGACCCGGCCGGTGACCCGCAACGAGCGCCAGGCCTTCCAGGTGTACCGGCAGCCCATCCCCGTGCAGGACCTGCTCCTGGAGGACCTCCAGGACGGGGATGTGAAGATGGGAGGATCCTTCCGAGGAGCTTTCGGCAACTCCGACAAAGGTACGGAGCAAACCGGGCGGGAAGGCGCCCGTTCCGGCGCGGAGCCGGGCGGTGTTTCGGGGGGATTTGGAATCCGAAAAATCCGGAATAATGAAAACTGCCCAGAGACTCTTGGTCTTTGAGCAGCAAAGGTGTTTATTGGCAGCACTGGGAGCAAACTGGACAAACTTGCTCGACTTGAAAGTGCAAAAGCAAGCCATTTTATCCCCTCTAGGTGCATGGTTACATCATTTATTATGCATATTAATAACTAGGCCGGTCTCTGGGCAGAGTCTTTCCAGACATGCCCAGTCTTCTGCTGTGGGGTCTCCTCAAACCTTCACCCCTCTGGTGGTCACCATGGGCGTCTTCCTCAATTTGACCTCTTCAGTGAGGTGCCCTGAATTCTTCAACCTTGCAAAACCCTGGCTCTGGGCCTTCTAGATCTTATTCAAACCTCTAGTTTACCTCATTTGTTACTCTGTGTGTGTGTACTACTCCTGTCCTTTCTGTAATAAGGCCTTTGGTGCAGCGAACAGAGCAGAGCATGAGATTATCCAGTGCTCCTAAAATGTTCTTCCAGCAGAACAGGTACTGGGGTTTCTTAGCAGGCCAAGACATCTCAGTTCACTCTTTTAGGCCTGGTTCCTGTTTCAGTTTCAGGCACTTTCCCCAAAGCAGAGGCACCCATGGAATCTCTAAATCCCGAGCTTGGGGCTGAGGTGTTTTCCTCCCCTTCTCTCCAGCCAAGAACATCTTCCAGGTGCAATTCCAGGATTCTGTGCCAGGCCTTTCCCACACAGTGCAGGCCAATGTTTTTATGTTGTCATCTCCTGTAGACCTCTCGTTTTTGTTTGCAGTAATTTTAAAATGGGGGTAATCTATGTAAATAAGAGCTTTTTTTTAAAAAAAACCCCAAACAACAGAAGCCAAGAAGGTCGGGTGTGACAGGTTGTGTTCTGCCCCCCTTGTTTTGTAGCTTTTACTGAGTACCCTGACCCACGAAAAAGTTCCTGTTAGGGAAAAATCTCAGTTTCCAGTCTCGGCATTCTCCTGATCCCTACATTTTTCACAGGCTGTGAATTTGGGATGCAGATTGAAACGAACTGGTGTGGTCATATTTTAGCAATTTTAGCTCTGTCTGTCCAGGGACAGTGCTGCTGGCAGGGCTTGATTCCTAAAAGCAGCTCTCCAAGGCTTGACAGTGGAGCCTCCCTGGTAGTTGCTGCCATCACAATCCAAGGTAAAACTGTTGCCCTATGTGGAACAGGATGACCTGTTCCTGACTGCCCCAACCTGAAATGATGTAGAAGACAGAAAGTTCCTTTTAACAGCAGAAGATTTCCTTGGCAGGCCAAGACATCTCAGTTCACTCTTTTAGGCCTGGCTCCTGTTTCAGATTCAGGCACTTTCCCCAAAGCAGAGGCGCCCATGGAATCTCTAAATCCCGATCTGGGAGCTGACGTGTTTTCCCCCCGTTTATCTCCAGCCAAGAACATCTTCCGGGTGCGATTCCAGGATTCCGGGCCGGGCCATTCCCACACGCTGCAGGCCAACGACGTGTTCCACAAGCAGCAGTGGGTGAACTGCATCCGCGGCGCCATCGCCCCCTTCCAGAGCTCCGCGGCCCCCTCCGAGCTCCAGGAGCTGCCGGAGCTGCGCGAGGAATCCGAGGAGAACAACCCCTGCGTGCCCAACGTCCCGGCCCGCCGGCGCCGCTCCGCAATATCCCACATGGAGCTGGACGAGGGCGCGGCCGAGCGCGGCTCCTCCGTCCTGGACTCGGGGGAATCCAGAGCAGGGGGGAAAGCCCCCAGAGCCTCGGCCGGGCTGAGGAGATCCAGGGAGAGGCAGCTCAGTGGGAAGCGGAAAGAAACGCTGGTGTAGGGAGAAGAGGAGCCCCGGAGCGGGTTCCTTCCCTCGTTCCCGGGGGGAAAACTGTTTATTTATAAATAACGCCGTGTACATTTGTGGAATCGGGGCAGATCCCGGGGTTCTGTTGGAATGGCAGCTACTTGGTGTTCGCTCCCCTGTTGAGCTCTGGGGGCTGGTTTTTACGCAGGGAAAAACCCTCAGGCAAATCCCAAAGTTGGGCTCTCCTCCGGAAGGATTTCCTGAAGGGGAGAGCCTTTCAAAGTGGAGTCACTTTGTGTGGGGGGGTGGTTGTGACAACCCACACAGATTTCCATGGAAAAACCAAAAAAAAACCCCAAACCCAGCCCCCAGGTCCAACAGGTTCTCCATTTACCTACTGGAATCTTTTCACCTTCCCTTTGTACATTCCTCGTTTTCGCTCTTGGATCCTGCCAACTATTTAATTTTTTTTTTCCAGTAGTTTTTTTTGTTGTTGTTGTTGTTGCTGTTGTTGTGTCCAGTTTGGGATTTGGGATTTTTTTTCGGTTGTTTTTGTTTTCTCTGGGGGTTTTTTCCCCCCCCTTTTTTTTTTTTTTTTTTTAACTTTTGTATTTTGTTTGTCCAGACTTGGCATTTTTTTTTTTTCCTTCCCAGTTACTCGATCTTTCGCGCTCCGGAAGGGAGGGATGTGTGTGTGTGCATCCACAGCATTCCCCGTGGAACGAGCAATCCAGAGGCTGGGAGGAGAGAGACCCTGCTGAGGGAGGAGGAAGGGAGTTCCTCCGGGGTGTAGGAAGGTTGTAGGGACGTTGTAGAGGGTTTTGGGAGGGGGAGAGGAGCAGTAGAGGGGAATAGCAGTGAGCGGAGGTAGATTTTGTGTTACCGTTGCCTTTTGGGAATGAAACCCCTTCCCGTGGGAATGAAACCCCTTCCCGCGGGAAGGCAGGACTGGAGGGGCAACCAAGGGGATTCCTGCATGTGGTAGAAAGGTAGAGAAGAGGAAGAGTTTGAGGTGTAGGGAGAGGAGAGGGAATGTTGTAAATACTCCGACTGCCGGAGAGCCAGGCGGTGGATCCGGCCCGGAAATCCCACCATCCCAGCGCCTGGAATTGCGTGTCCTGTGCCGTGTGTGGCCGTTGGGAGAGGGGAGGAGGGTGCACATGGACAGCTCTGTAAATGTCTTGTACAGTTCCAGTGCCAAGAACATTAAATTCCTGATGCCTCTCTCTCTCTCTCTGTCTCTCTCTCTCTCTCTCTCTCCTGCCTCCTCCTCTCGCTGCCGGGAGGGATCCGGGATGGGGTGGGATAACACGGAGCTCCACTGGGATCCTGGGTCCTCCTGCCGTGCTTCCAGTGGACAGGAGGGCAGGAGTTCACAGTTTAGGGAGGACAGGGAGCAGTGGGATTCTCCTCACTTCCCTGACATCCTCTGCCTATGGAAAAGTCCCCGTTTAGCAAATATCTAGGAATCCCATTCTCCAGGAATCTTGGGAAGGGGGATCTCGCTGGGCCAGCTCAGGGCACCTTCCAGGGGAACATCTGGTTACATCACCAGGACAAATCCTCCAGTCTCCACAGCCCGTCCCAGAAACCCGTGGCCTGACCATGTGTCGGGAGTGTCTGGGCACAGCTGCAACTCCCGGGAAGAGCTGCCCTGGGATCCGCAGGGAAGGAGCAGCTGGAATTTTAGGGACGGGTTTTACAGCTGAGCTTTGTCCTGTTTCGATCCAGAGGGGACTCGGCCCTTCCCAAGCAAAAATAAAAGGCAGGAGTGATTCCAGGGCTTGATCCCAAGGGAAAGGAAATCCCGGATCCTGCCAGGCCTCCCGGAGTCAGGCCGGGCTCAGCCTTCGTCTCATCCCTCAGCCAACGGCAAATTAGCCAAGAACTTCCCTTCCCTTTGGAAGTGAGCCCCCGACTCCCGGTGGTTCCCATCCCTGAGGAATGTGCAGACACCGCAGCCGGCCCCGGCTGGGCCAGACTAAACAAGCCGGGCTTTCCTGGTTTCCTCCCAGCCCGAATTCCAGGGGGTCCCGGCCGGGCCTCTCCCTGTCTGTGCTGCTGAACCTTCATCCCGTGGATGGGGACACCCTGGGACACAGCGGGGCAGGATTCCCGAGGGCAGGGCGGGATTCCCGAGGGCAGGGCGGGATTCCCAAGGGCAGGGTGGGATTCCCGAGGGCAGGGTGGGATTCCCGAGGGCAGGGCGGGATTCCCGAGGGCAGGGTGGGGAGCTGGGCCAGCCCCAATCCCGAGGAGCCCGTCCAGCCTGGCCCCATGGAACGGGAAGGTGTCCATGGCCAGGGATGTGTGTGGGCAACTCCACCCCGGAGCAGCTCCCTCTGGATCCACCCGGCTCCGGAGCCACGTGTGGAGCGGAACCGACGCCTCCATGGATAACAGGTGAGACCTTCCCGGAGTCGGGATCAGGGGCACAGTGGGGCTCATCCCTCTATCCCAACAACTCCCCAGCACCCCAATCCCAAACTCTTCCTCCACGGGGACATCTCTGCCAGGCCCAAACGTGGGATCAGCGTTCCTTGGCTTGGGCTGGAAAAGCCTGGATTTAGGATCTGCCCTGGAGGCTCCACAGCTCCCCCCTGGCTTTGGGAACCTCACTGGAAACGGTGGCTAAAGCCCCCGAATCCCAAATTTCCCCCCCAGCAGCCCCTGGATGCCCCTGCAGCCGCTGTGGGATCACCCTTTGGCTCAACCTCTCCCAAATCCCAAATTTCCCCCCCAGCAGCCCCTGGACGCCCCTGCAGCCACTGTGGGATCACCTCCCAGTTCAGCCTCTCCCAAATCCCAAATTTCCCACCCAGCAGCCGCTGTGGGATCACCCTCTGGCTCAGCCTCTCCCAAATCCCACTTCCCACATTAAACCTCTGTGGAGTTCACGCCGGGTTTTGTGGAGGTTCCTCCCCATCCCCACTCGGGCTCCTGTGGGGCCCCGCGGAGGTTTCCCCGTCGGAGCCTTTCCCTCTCCTCCTCCAACTTTCCCTTTTTCCATGAATCCATCATCCTCCCCCACACCCCCTCCCGCTGCTCTGTCTGCAGACCCAGACGTCTCCACACATCTGGATTATCCAGCTGGGAGCTTTCAACCCTCTGGATCGGGGGGAGTTTTTCCACCATTCCCTGGATCAGACCCCTCAAATCCAGACGCCGGGGTCGGGACGAGCGGCGTCACCCGGAAAACTCCGTGTGAGGTTTAGAACAGTGGCCGCTTCCAGCCTCCCTCCTTCCCTCTGGTTCCAGCTGGAGAAATCCCAGGAAAAGCAGCTGCCAGAACCCCCGGCAGCCGGAGGCTCCTGCTCCCGCCTCCCACCAGGGTGGTCTCTGCCTCCCCATCCCACCCCACAGAGACCGGGATAAATAGGACTTGGACATGAATTGTGGGATTTGTGGGTCGGAGGGAAGTTTATTGGGATAATGATCCTGCCGGGATAACGAGGGGCAGCGGAGCACAAAGTCAAGGGCTGGCCTGGACCTGCTCCCGGGGATTGGTGGGAATGTGGGAGGGGATGGGTGCTGGGCATGGGATGGGATGGGATGAGACTGGATGGGATGGGATGAGATGGGTGCTGGGAATGGGATGGGATGAGTGCTAGTTATGGGGAATGGGATGGGATGGGTGCTGGGAATGGGAT